TTTCCGGGCGTTGGTTGGTGAATTGCGAGACAGGTCGCAATGGAGACGTGGAGCGGCGGAGGGGTGAGGATGAGCGGCGTCTAGTAGAGCGGTAAGAACTGGTTGGCTCAGATGTCGCAGTTGGAGACGGTGAGCAACGTAGCGGCGGATCACAAGGATGACGTTGGAAAGCGTACCAGCTTGTCCCATCATCCCGTCCGTAGGTGTCGAATCCACGACGTTCGTCCTGCTGACGCTTCCGACAGACGCGTGCAATGTGGCCCCGGTAGCCGCAGTAATAACAGATCGGACGAGGCGGCCGCCACGGTGGATGAAAGGGTTGGCTAGGCACACTCGGAGTAAACGAAGCCAGTGGGACAGGCGTCAAGTGTGCGGGCATCGGTTGTACGACAGGTGGTGATCCAGCGAGGACTTGTGCATACGTCGGCTGGGGTCGAGTTACTGGAGAGTCTACATACGCTTGCCCGGTCATGGACGCCAACTCCTCTTTGATAACGTCGCGCAAAACAGTGTTGGAGGCGGGAGGTGGACTCGGTGTCATTGAGCGGCCGAAAGATTGCAGCTCTTTCCCTATAATGGAAACACTTGCCGACGATGCCGTTTGCAGCAGTCTTAGTTTTGTAGTTCGATTCATGACGACTGTTAAGTCATCATCCGATGACTTGAAGCCATCCGAGTACAAATCGGTAGCCTCACTGTCCGTGTCACTTGACACGTTAACACGCATCCTGGACGACGAAGCCCGGCGTGACGGTTGCATGCCAGGAACATTCTCAGGTGTGTCCTGATGCATCACCGCAAAAGAGGGAGCGGAAGCTCCCAAGATTTGCAGGAAAGCAAATTGAAAGTACTGAGACACAGGCACAAGCCAAGTCAAGTCAAGTCAAGATCCTTGACGATGTGGCGCATACCCACGCTTGGGGATTGGCCAAGAACCGGATAGTTTTCATGAATTTCTTGTTTAATAACAGATTAAATTTAATCCATTTAGGAGTCATAAAAGAAAGATGCAACAAGATAAATTTGGTGGTTGAATTGTAAATAATCTGTAGTGCAATGCAATAAAGCGTCGTATTTGATTTAACATGAATTGGGAAATTTCGAAATCTACCGAACAATGATTTCAACACTTAAACCTCTTTGAACTTTTGAGGAACTCCTGCAATGCGTCAACCATCTTCCCGTCGCTGTGGCCTAGACACAAAGCCCCGAAAGAAAGCACATTGTCAGCATTTAAATCCATTCTCAGAAGGTGGTAAACGGCTCCTAAAGTGTTTTTACGTAAGACAGAGAATCTATTACAATAAATGAGATAATGTTCAGTTGACTCATTCACTCCACAAACAGGACAATGAGGGGAGGCTGCCAGACCAGCTCTGTGCAAATATAAATTCAGCTGTGGAATTTCACAGCGCAGTCTAGTGATTGCGACTTCCGTTCCTCGCGTTTCACATATTTTACTATTCCACTGGTATAACAACTGCTTGAATGCTAGTGTGGCTGTTAGTGAAGGTGTAGAAAATTCCTCTAACAGTAGTTTCCTTCTTAATCTAGCACCTATCAAGAATTTCGATGTCGGTAATACATCAATAACAGGCCCATTTAAAGATGACTTGGCCAATGCATCTGCCATTTCATTCATATAAACGCCCTTATGTCCAGGAACCCAGACCAGTTTGATCAGATTGAGATGTGAGTGAACTAATGCTTTGAAAGTATTCTAAGCATGCGAGTTCTCATCTGCAGTAAGGGAGGCACATACTGATAGTCAATTTGTTAAAATTATTGCAGTTCTTACTGAAGCAGTTATTTTACGGAGAGGTAAACTTATCACAAACAATTCTGCTTCAAATATGGGCACATAATCGGGAAGGCGAATCGAAAAGGACCAGTCTAAGGCAGGAGAAAAAATACCAATTCCACATTTTTCTTCCCTTTGTGATGCATCAGTTGCTATGACTGCTTGTATTGGCTATGTTCCAGGTAATCTCTTAATATAGCTTCTAAAACTGAGTGGCATCAATTTTGAATTTTCAGAAATATATCATCAAACTACACAAGCGTTCTGTGAGAGAGTCACTTCGTCGTCGTCCAAAAGGTAGTCCTAAATGTAGCGAAAACATAACGCTACTGAAACCCAACAGTACTGCCAGAGAGGGCGAGCTACTGTTATAAGTATTTTCTACAGATAGCGTGGGAAATGCCACAGAGGGTGAGAAAGTACATTGAGAGGCTGTCGTAGGTGTACCAACAGGCGCAAGTTCGGTAGAGGACCATTTCGAGGAAAAGTCCAATCCCAGCAGCATGAACCGAGCTTGTGTAGTGTTAGAGACATGCCTCATGCAGCGGCACGTAAACGATCAGCCGGATGCTAAAAGCTACCCGGAAGGATGCCAATTTCCAAGAGTTCAGACATGTGAATAACCCAGCATCTAGTTTTGTGAAGGGTATTGCAGATACATTAGCCAAACAGAGCAATGAAGCGGAGAAATTGAAGGGCCAAGGCGGCAGAAAGGGTGGTGCACAGGCACACCTGAACTGTAAGATTGCTGATGACACAACCAGGGAAGTTTGCAACAACCAAGAAAAGGTCGTACGTAAGCGTCACCGCAAAAGAAAGAAGCAGGGACGTGCGGCACCACAAAAGATGGCAGAGGGCATGCCGCAGTGAAAACGGAAGGGTTGGCCATCGGTCAATTTATCAAAACAGCCTTTGAGGTCAGCTGTCAGGCAAAATTGGCGAGAGAGAAGTAGCGGAAAAGGACACGCGTTCCTAAGAATGAAGGCATGGTTGAAAAAAAAACAGGTATGCGTCGACAACAATGTCAACAAGTTTCTAAGAGAAAGGCTGCTGGTCCTAACTTCAGGGTGAAACCAATTGCGAAAGGACAATGACGAGTCTTTTCCCCGAACTTCAGGAATCTTCGGTCTCATGAAGAGAGCCAGCCGAAATCAGGAATGAGCCCTGATGGCAAAGTTGGGCTGGGAGTTTCGCCTCATTGTGGCTTTCGCGATCGCCTCTGGCGATCACGAAAGCGGTAGAGAACATGACCGCCACGTGCAAGACTAAAAGCGTGAAGGTCAGCTGCAAGCTTTTCGCAGAATGCGACCCAATGTTTCTGAAAAGAAGCTTTTTTGAGTATTTCTCCAGTTTTGAACCTTTGAAACAATGTTTGCTTTTGTAAGTAAGGTTTCAATAGAAAACAGACTGGTTTCAAAGGGTTCATGATAAACGCGGAATGCTGTACACTTACATTGAAACGCGCGTTTAGAAGATTTTTTAAGGCACGGAGGCGTATATTGAGTCGCGAATTGTTACAGCGCTCCATTATTGTGAGTAGAGTAGAGCTAACACGCCCAAAAGAACCCAGTGGGTTCTTTTAAGGTGCGAGCATGATAATGTAACTATAACCAAACAAGACAATTACGCAGGGTTTAGTTCCATCACTTTGGTTGTGATAGAATGCTTAAGTATCGTGTGATAGTTTAGGTGGAGCGTTACGCGTTAGAAAAAGTCGAGGGTTGAGCGACATTTCGGACAATTATAAGATGCAGCTGAATCTAGGGAGAAAGATTTGAGTCTCAAAAGGTGTGTCCTACTGAAGACGTGAAGAAACGGTAACGTATGAACCTGGGTTATAGCATGCGCTGAGAGCTGGCACGAAGGCTTAAGTTTTGCTTTGTGCGTAAACACAACTCATGCGAGAATTCTTCGTTTTGAGCTTTTTTTTTGTTTTGCAAATGTCCTGTTTAGGTTGGAGTGGAAAAGACTTAGTGAAGGCAGCTCAGAAGACTACCTAATAAATTAGCAAGTGGGTTTTATAGAGGTGAATCATTGTCCTCTCTCGGGGCTACTGCCTTTGTCCTAGCCGCCGGCTGCGTTAAAACCTCGTTTTGCAACAGTGTACATTTGACATACCTTTCAAAAGAGGGATACTCCATGGCAACGCAGAGTGTTTAAGTCACTGTCCCTGGCGCAAATGGCATTCTCGAGAGTTCTGCCATATTTTTTTTCTGACACAGACAAGGGCCATTCATTAGGTTTTTCTTTGTTTTGTTGCTTTTTAGAGGTAGTTGAACTCGTGGTGAATACATTGAAGACACCGCTATCCAGGGTTTCAGGTTGCGTGTGCTTCCAGTGCAGTTATTCTGTTTCACGCAAACGTAGAAGAGGAATTTAGAATAACTAGTGTACTTCTTTTAATTAGTTGTAAAAGGGTAAATATGCCTGGTGGGGTTTGACGTAATTGCCTGGCGCTTACTAGATGAGTGGTTGTGTTTTCATGTGCCTGTGTGATGTCTGTTGAGCCAAAATGAAGCAGGTGGTCACTACTTCATCAAGGACGGTCTTCACCAGAGCGGACGTCAGCGCTGATCTCTCCGAACTGTGGCTGCAAACCTCAGCCCATAAAAATCTTCCCCCCCCCCCCGCGCGAGAGACTGTTATGACCGTCATTATTATTGAAGTCTTACGGCCTATATATATATATATATATATAGTGTTGTATTGCATATAAATACGCGGCGAGGGGCGCTTGCCCTCTACTCGTGAACAACTTGGTATGCCACTCCACATGGACAGACTGACTAAAGCGCTTTGTGTGCACACTCTTCAGTCTGTGTGTCCGTGTGCCTTCGTTTAGTTCGTGTTCAATATCGCTGCTATTTCAAGGAAAAATTTTCAACTCGCGCAAGAAGCAGCACTCGCATGACTCATGTAAATAGGACGTTTAAACATATATCCGAGAATGTTTACCGCATTACAGCAGCGCAGTGCCCACTTTAACATAAGTGTTTGCTTTGGAAATTGGTGGTGCATACACCTCGGGTTCATAGGGCATTTCGCGCTCCTACACAGCTGTACATGTTGTGGATGCTTTTACTCATAATATTAATTAACAATGCCTGTATAATTTGTAAATGATGGGCCCCTAGAATAACCATTCGTTGGGTAGTGCACAGGTGCTTGCCCCACATAAATTATGGTTCGATTCACAACGGAACTGAAAATTATTTCTTTATTGGCACATATCTTGACTTATCGCTCATGCAGAACGTTGATTTTTCGCACCCAGTCATTAACGGCGACAACCGACAGTGACACCGAAAATTAAGCCAAGCGATCTGTGAAACGCTATCGTGCTAAGTACTTATGTGATGGTTTTCGGTAGACACCTCTTTGTCAGGTAGAAGGTCCGGGTTATTTCTACTCGATTGAAACAGTTTTATACGTTATCTATATGCATGTATACCTCAAATTGAAGCTCACCAACAACGTCAGTTATTGGCACACAACTGAGGACGCTGACGTCGACATAAAAATTTCTGCGAAACGAGCTCTTTAACGCAATCGCCTAAAAAATTTGACGCTGAACTGTGGTCATGTTTTGCAAAGGCCATGATGTTTGTTGAACTTGTATTGAACTCATCTTCGGCGGTACAGCTCTCCTGGCACAGTTGCATGATACAGCAAAGAAGGATCACACGCAGCGGTTCCGCAGTTCACGACACAGTTAGCTGCTCTGGTGCTGCATCATTGTGGTCGGAAGCGGAATACTGCTCGCCAACCAGGTCTCCCGGGTCGCCTAACGTGCGGCGTAGTCCTGCGTTGAAGTACACGTATCTGCTGCTCCACAAAAGTGTCAGGTACCACAGGCTGCACACGCCACCCAGCACCGCCACTGTGGCCATCGTGTAGAACAGGCCCTTGACGGTGCTGTTGACCTGCGAACCAAATAGAAGCTTTTATGATCAGCTCTTCGGTTGGCACCGTCCCTATTTAGCCGCTTGAACAACAATGAGGAGCATTACAACACGACCTGAACGTGGGCCTTGTATAGTAGACCAATATTCGTGAAGACAACTTAACTGAGGGAGTGTCTCTTTTGCGCCCCTCGCCGGTCATCTAGCAGTGGCAGCAACACTAGTACGTCACATATTTAGATTCACAGTGCACTGAAGCACCGCAAATGATAAAGAAAATGAATATACAAAGCTTTATTAGAAACAAACAAAATGATGATGACTAGAGCTCCAACTCAGCCTCCTTATGGCATGCACACACCAGCAGTGAGTCGACGGACCAAAACATGGAAATCATAACGGCGTCATTTACCCAAACAAGATCAATGTATGTGATTCTGCTGTTAACCAGCAGCGGTTACAGGCGTTAAGCACTAAACGCAGCCAGCACTCTTATACAATACCCTACAAGTGCTAAAAATATATATCTCAAAGGCTATGCTCAACGGATTCCGACATGCCACGGCGACTGTGTGGCCTAAAGTAAATAAGAACTACTTCGTCTGAAAGTAGTTGTGTAATTTGTTTATTTTACCGTATTTTGTTTTCATTTATCGCTAGATATGGGTCGAGCAATAATTTCATACCTCGTGATTTCTCCGTCTCCCCAATATGTAGGGTTCCAATCACGTTTCCTCTCGACCTACTTTGAAGTAAATACGAAGATCGGCATTATTTTGTACTTGGACGTTTTCAAACTCGCGTCACAGAGTGTTTTTAGGCGAAAGATTTGAACTTGAGTCTTTATGCGTACTACAGAACTCGTTGCCACAGTGTGTCCAATTGACACATAAACGGCGGAAAAATTGTCAATGCAATTTCTCACCGCAAATACGAAGCCTATATTTCTCTTAGAAGGAAGAATCGCTCGTATACAACGCAGGCGGCGTTGCAGAGGACGTCATCGGGTGCACAAATTGAGCTGGCAATCAACGTGGAGTGACGGGAATGAAATTACGTTCCAAGGACACATTTTGTGACATATTGTTACGTTCTATAGTGGCACAGGGGATTGATCGAGGCACATCTGACGGGCAGATGGGAGAATAGCAACAAAAATGGCAATGCTATCAATCGTTCTGCCATCAGCTAAGTAAAGAACCAGCTATCCTGCCGTGTGCTCATAGGCAGGATAATGGCTGGTCATTATGAGTGATTGACTGGATTCCAAGGAAAGCAAAACGCGTCAGGGGATGACACAAAGTTAGGGGGGCAGACAAGATTAAGAAATTGACCAGTACAACGTGACTGTAGCAAGCACAGGACCAGGTTTATTGACTGAACTAGGGAGAGGCCTTTGCCCTGCAGTCGGCGTAGACAGGCTTGCAAGGAACTGGATCAGGACAGACCATTCTGTCCAAAACAACAAAAGGTTGACTTGAACCTTATATAAATGCAAATGCCACAGGATGATATTCGTCTGCTTTGTGCCACATGGATTAAGCAAATTGTTTGAGGAAACGGCAACCAGCTCCGCCCTCTGAACGTGGTTGGATGAATGGATGCTATAAGCCTCCTCTTTATAATGGAGTGGTGACATGTATGCCACCAGGCTCGCAAGAAAAAATAAAAAGAAACATTTCATTGCATGTTGGCCTAACGTCTTGTCTACTTCGTATAAATTGATCGTATTATAACAAAAATATGTTCCATCTCTGCTTCTTCGGACAGAGTGACCTCATTTTCCCACGATCTCTGTCCTTTATCTCTGCTTTTCTGCCACCGATATTCTAACCATCTCTTATTTGCTTCTATCGCGGACGTGTACAGCTTTCCATGTTTGCCCCTGAAACCCAAAGCCTCATATAGGCTTGTACGTACACGCATATCTGGGAGGATATCGCCACATTCAAGTCGAAAACATCCAAAAACCGCCTTATGAATATGAGAGACGCCATTGTGGAGAGCTTTGGAAGTTTAGTCCACCCGGGGCTTCATAAGTGCACCCAAATCTGACCATATAGAGCTACAGAATTTTTGCCTCCATCGAAAATGCAGCCGCTTCAGCCGGAGTTCAATCGCTCGACCTGCGGGTCACCAAAATATGCAAAATATACCACCCAAATATACAATGTAAGCGTAAGATGCAAAATATGCAGGAAATGGCTCGCAACGTCTAGGTGCTGAGAAAAAGAAGTTACAGCTCAGTGCACAGCGGCCATTCATTTTGAAAATGAAAATTCGGAAGAGCAAGGGTGAACCTGCCGTTATATGAAGATATCGTCAAGTAATTATCTGCAGTCTGCAGTGGCAATAGCAGAAGGTGGAAACAAATCGTGCTATTGGCAGGTTCTGTTGGACGCTGGCAGCCAAGGATCATTCATCCGTAAGAGCTTGTCACACAAGCTTGGTTGCCCGGACAAAGGAAATCAAAACCGACCATAAGCTATTTCGCAAGCGGACAAGAGGGAAAGACTATGAATTCAGTTGAAGTCAAAATTGGAAGCGCATGCAGTGGCAAAAAGGTTTTGTTGGAAGCACTCGAGGTTGAAGTTATATCAAGATAAAAAATAGCGTTCCTGCCTGCCTTGCTGAAGAAGAATGATGGCGATGGAAAGCTGGCTGACGGTTTATGCACAAGTACAGACGAGAGAGAAATCGAAATTATTGTTGGATCTGAGCAGCGATGGCATATAATGAGCGGAGGTATCTGAAAACTGGAAGCGAGCTCACAGCAGCAGAGACCATAATCGGTTTTACAGTGCAGAGCAAAGCTGCAACATTAATGCAACGTGGAACTGTTTTATATGCATCAAAACCATTTGTATGCATTCCGAATGCCCAAAGGAATAAGAGCCTCTGTCAGGCTACATGTCCTCTAGCTCTTGCTCCTCTTTCTGTAATAAGAAAGAAATAATAAACGAAAGATTAGAAGGAAAGAAAGAAAGAATAAAAGAAAGAATGAAAGAAAGAATAAAAGAAAGAAAGAATAAAAGAAAGAAAGAACTGTTATGGTAGATGACGTTGAAGTGGACAAGTTCGACATAGAGACGAAACTGAGGCATTTATAGAACTATCGACATAAAGGGCACTGAGCAAGACGCAAAGAAAGAAGATAGTGTAATGGAGTATTTCAACAAGGACTTGAAGTGTGAAAAGATATTCAGTACGACTTCCATGGAAAGATAACCTGGAGTTTGATAAAAAAAGGGTGTCACAATGACGAGATTGAAGCAACTCATTTGAAGGACACAGAAGGATGAAAGTGTACTGCGATGTTATGACAGTGCCATCAGAGAGTACATGAATATTGAAGTGGCAGAAGTGGCCGTATCAGAAAGTGCACCATTGACACACTGCTACTACATGCCGTATCAAGCTGTCATCCAGCAACATTTTCCAACAACAAAGATAATAATACTATTTGATGTGTCTTCATCGTCCCCGAAAGGATTATCTTTAAATGGCAACTTCGAAACAGGAGCAAATCTCAGTCGTGATCTCGAGCACATGCTGATGAACTTCCGGCCCCATCGCATTGCAATTACAGCTGATATTGAGAAGACATTCTTACAGATTTCAATACATGAGTAAGACAGAGACGAACTGCGTTTGCTTTCGTGGGATATAATTTCTAGTTAAAGCGATCCAATGTTTGTAACAGGAAGAATGTCAGGAATGACGTTTGGCACTGCTCCTAGTACACTCTTGCTTGCGGCAACAGTGCAACACCACCTCAGCAAGCTGGGGGATAAATTTTCGGAGAAGTGTAAACAGCTGAAGAGCAACCGATACATCGGCAACGTGATAATGGGAGCTGACTCCCCCAAAGAAGCCGAAACAATTCACTGGGAATAAAAAAAACTTTCGAAGGGCTGTAAATGATTCTGAGAAAGTTCAATACAAGTGAGCCTCAATTAAAAGCAACTATAAAGAAGGAGGAGAAATGTGGAAGCGTTCCACCAAAGTAACGATTCTTGGCATGATATGAAACTTGAAGGAAGTTGGGCTGTACCTATCATCGTGTGACATTGATACCAGCGGTACGCTAATGATGGGCAAAATGTTACATCTCACACAAAGAGTATATAATCCTTTGGGAGTCTTCATTGTATTCACGGCTACACCCAAGCGAGAAATACAAAACACGTGGAGGATTTGAACGTCTTGGGACGACTCGCCGCCAGATGATGATTTGGAGTCGTGGAGGCAGTGTATTAAAGAGCTCGAATCCATTCAAAGGTTCAGCGTACCACGATGGTTTTCTTTTAAGAGTAAGGAGGAAGCGTATTCACACAGAACTTCGCTTGTTTTCAGATGCAAGGTCATATGCGTGCGGAACAGTAGCCTATTGAATAAATCACTACGAATAGGAAAACGAGGCTGGAATACTCGTTGTAAAAAATAGCGCTAATGAAGCAAATCTCGTTCCTACGACTCTAGTTAATCGCTGCGTTGCTGTCTACATGCCTCTATGATTACATCAGAAGAGTATTTGTAAGGAAGATAGATAATACAAGATACTCAGCAATTGTTCTTAGTTGGCTCCACGAAAAAAAAAAAAGAGACATCTTTGTGGAAAATAGGGTGAAGAAGATAAAACGAAAAACGAAGCTGTCAAAGTGTAAGTACACTGCACGTGAAAAGAACCCAGCTGATCTCACAATCCGAGGTGTAAGTGTAAAGACTTTGATACAGTCGGAAATATCGTGGCATGGTCCAAAGTGGCTTGTTACGGAAAGCAAGACCACAGAGCAGACGGAGATGGAAGAAGTCACTGAGAGTTGTGAGGGTTATTTGACTAACACATACACGTCGATTGCGGCAGTGATCGACGCAGCGAACTATGGAACCTAGGTAAGATTTCTCAGAGTAGCAGCTTGGACTCTAAGATACATACAGATTATAAGAAAGAAGCGGGAAGTGGGGTGTCTGAGTTTTGAGGAACTGACGGAGACAGTGACGGTGATAATAAAACTGCA